TAGAGAATTCTGGAGCTAAGATGACCCATCAGAGATTTCCTAGAACAGGTAACGGGGCTGTACCTTTTTATTCCCACATTTGATGTGTGCTCTCTCCAGAGAAGGGACATTCCCTTGGACAAAGCAACTCTCTTCAACAGAAGGCAATTCCTGGAGGGGGACCTATCTGTTGAGCAGTCAGCAGCCAATACTTCCCTATGCTGAGCGGATGAGCATATTTGTCCTGAAGAGAGTATATTGGTGACTGGCCACAGTATCTGCCAGAGCAAGAATGTGTTGCTATGGAAGTAGAGATTTACTTGCTGGGCCTTAAATAAATGCATAGGCCTCACAAGCAAAGTCAGTAATGAAACTCAGGCCACAAGGCCCAAGCAAATCTTAGGCAATGTGCTTGAGATTCTACAAGCACTAACCTTCAACTAACTAGTCTGCCTCAGCAGGAATGGCTGAGGCAAAGATTCTATTAAAGGAATCAGAGAGCTCTTAGATATGGGTTATTTTAAAACATTAGGCACAAAAACAGTTAGTGTCAGTTTTTGCCTTGGCTTTCAGCCTAGCTAGGTATGTAGTTTGGATGAGATGCCCCAAATTTGGTTTCTCTCCTATATTGTTTTGAACTGGCTTCATGGTCAAGAAGGAGACCTGTGAAGAAACTAACCTTGAATTCACACAGCTTGTACACAGGCTCAAGGATCATCTCCCACTATATAGTCTCCAGTTGTCTATACCAACTCTTCTATTGCCTAGATACCTGAGACACAAATTGTGACTTCACTAATGGAATGATAGTAAGTTTTATTAATAAACAATTTAAAAAGAAACAGGAGAGCTTCTGCTTCTAGAAATGGTAGATTACTTAATTTGGAGCAACTCTCTTGTCAAGGACAACTAGGAAAAGCAAGAAAAATATAAAATAAAATCTGCCTCAAGGCACTGAAGAATCTTCAAAGAAGAGATAAATTACCAGGTCATTTTCTGGGAGAAGACAGAAACTCACAGAGATGAGCCCAGTATTTGGGGCTACTATTCTCACAGGAGTATCTGCTAATTCCTTGAGAGGCACCTAAAGTGACTAAGAAGCTAAGCAAAGCTTTCAGCAGACTCATAAATCTTCCAGGATATCATTGGAGCCTGAATTTTGGGTTGTGACCTTATTTTTGGCTGCATTGTAGTAGTAAGTGTGAAGCAGAAGGAGAGCAATCTTTGCAGAGACTGTAACTAAGTTCCAAATTATCTTAATCTCTGAAATTAATGTGATATTTTTGTATTGCTAATGCCCCTAAATGATTCTGGAGGAATAACATTGATCAACACTCAAAAACAAAAACAAAGGTAAAGACAAAACAAAACATAACACCACTCAAAGACATTAAGAGACAAGGTAAAGTGAAAAAAAAAAATTAAAAAAGGACAACAGAGAGCAGACACAGGCTTACCAGTGTCCTAGATAATGGAGTTATCAGATACAGACTTTCAAATAAGTAGACTTTAACATGCTCAAGGAGAGAAAAACAAGATTGAGAATTTTAGCAGAGAAGTGGAAGATATAAAGAAAAAAAAGGAAACTAATGGAGAAATAAAATGATAGCAGCTAAAAAAATTGGATGGATGTGGTAGCAGATAAAACCCCACTGAATACAGAACATGTGAGCTGGAAGCTACACTAGAAGAATATATCCAGAATAAATTTTGGAGGGACAAAAATTTGGGAAATATAGAAATGACAAAGCATGTAATTGAGGGAATACCGTGAAAAGATCAAATATATGTGTAGCTTGAGTCACAGAATGACAGATGAGAGAATGGAGCAGATAATGGTTGAGATGAAATTATGGCTGAGACTTTCCAAAAGAAAAAGTGCAGTTCAACTATTCAATTGTACTACGGCAAAATGAGCAAAAAGTAATTCAGACCAAGTACATCATAGTAAAACTACTGAAAACCAAAAACAATGAGAATATCTTAAAAATAGTCAGAGATGAGAAACTAATTTCATAGAGAGGAGCAATATTTACGCGAACATCTGACTTCCAGAAAAACACAATGGGAGGCAGAAATTAACATAATGTTGTTTTCAGCATGCTAAGACAGTAAAAGTGAAGATGTAGAATTCTTTACTCAAGGAAAATATCCATCACAACTGAAGATAAATATTTCTTTTTACACAAGAAAAAACTGGAATAATTTGTCACCATACAAGGAAATGCTGAAAGGTATTCATTAGGGAGAAGGTAAACTATGACAAACGGATAGAAAAACTAATTAAGATGTTAGGAATCAAGATAGAGATTATGCTACGGAATGAGAGATGGAGTAATTTTGGGTGTGGCACAGGGAGACTTCTGAGGCGCTAGCGGTATTCCACTTCTTGATGTGAATTACATAACACAGGTGTATTGTCTTTGTGATAATTCAACAAACTTTATAATTATGATTGTGTACATTTTTGAATACCTATTATACTTCAGTGGAAAGTTGAAGTAAAGATGGGAGGTTTTGAAACATTTATTTTACACAAATTGTTTAAATTGGTGAAAAACTAACTTGATTCTGGTTGCTTTTTAAAAAAAACTCATATGTATTATTATTTAATTTTAGGAATGAAAAAAATCATCTGATGAATGAAAATGAGTAAAAGATCAGCAGAGTTATCACGTTACCAGAAAAGGAAAACTCCTTACCAATACTTGTATACATAATAAGTAGTCAATTATGAAATATGATTAATTTACATAATGAATGCTGTGGGACTATGACTATACAAAAATATTGACATGCTGTGAATGAACATATAGTATGGTTGACTCAGTTTTTCGCAAGACAAAGTCAAGCATTCAGAGCACCATCCAAAAAAAATGTATTACTATTCTCTTAATTTGGTAAGTATTATAGCAAATTATGGAAGAACATATATCCAGAAAACTAACATTAATAACAAATAATATACCATATTATTCAGGGAATAAAATACAAAAGCAAGCAATTAATATTATGGTAGATGCACGAATCAAATAATTTTAAATAAGGTAAGATATGCTAAATACTTTTCTCTAAGATTTGATAATAAAACTTCAGATATAAGTCAGGTAAAAAAAAACATGTTGAAGAATTTTCCCAGTACGTGAAATGACTGGAAAAGAATTATACAAATCATTCATAGGCAATTTACAAAAGCTGAATACAGACAAAAATTATTTGAAGAGACAGATATGTGACAGTGCCAGCATACATGGAAAATATAATCTACAACATTTGAAAATCCTTGAAAAAACTACATGGCATTTTATATTCTTTGATCTGTGCCCATTCTTTTTAAAATTTTGGTAGTAAAAGTCTATCTTTAAAGAGTTTTAAAAAGTCATACAGCAATAATAGTGTTACTTTTCAGTCCACCAAAACTTTGGAGTGTATTGCAAATATAAGTAAATATAAAATGAAAATTATTGCTGTGGTTTTTAAAAATTTTTTTATCGAGGTAACATTGATTTATAACATTGTATACATTTCAGGTGTACTTCATTCTATTTCAATTTCTGTGTACACTACATAGTGTTCACCACCCAAAATCTAATTGCTATCTGTCACCATGTATATGCCATTTTACCCCTTTTGTCCTCCCTGCTTCCCCTCTGGAACCACCATTCTATTCTTGCATCTTTTTGTTTGTCTGTTATTATCGTTTTTTAAGTCTTCTCCATGAGTGAAGTTATATGGTATTTGGCTTTCTCCGTCTGACTTATTTCACTTACCATAATGCCCTCAAGATCGATCCATGTTGTTGCAAATGGCAAGATTTCATCTTTTTTTTTTTATGGGTGAGTAGCATTCCATTTATGTATATATATACACCACATCTTCTCTATCCGTTCATCTGTTGATGGGCACTTAGACTGTTTCCAAGTCTGGATATTGTGAATAATGCTACAATGAACATAACGGTGTATATATCTTTTTGAATGACTGATTTTATGTTCTTCGGATAAATACCCGGTAGGGGAATAGTTGCATCATATGATATTTCTAGTTTTAACTTTTTGAGACATCGTTGTACCAGTTTGCATTCCAATCAACAGTGTATGAGGGTTTCCTTTTCTCCACTTCCTCTCCAACGCTTGTAATTTCTTGTCTTGTTAATTACAGCCATTCTGATGGGTGTGAGGTGATATCTCATTGTGATTTTGATTTACGTTTCCCTAATAATGAGAGAGACTGAATATCTTTTCATGTTCTTGTTGGCCACCTGTATTTCTTCTTTGGAAAAATGTCTATTCAGATCCTCTGTCAATTTTCTAATCTTGTTGTTTGTTTTTTTGTTGTTGAGTTCTTCATATATTTTGGATATTAACCTTTTATCGGATGTGTGATTTGCAAATATCTTCTCCCAATTGGTGGGTTGTCTTTTCACTTTGTTGATCATTTCCTTCATTGTGTAGAAGCTTTTAAGTTTGATGTATAGTTCTATTTGTTTATCTTTGCTTTTGTTTCCCTTGCTTGAGAACACATATTGAAAAAGATGCTGCTAAGACCAATGTCAAAGAGTGTACTACCTATGTTTTCTTCTGGGAATTTTATGGTTTCAGGTCTTACATTCAAGTCTTTAATCTATTTCGAGCTAATTTTTGTGTATGGTGTAAGATAGTGGTCTAGTTTCATTTTCTCGCACGTGGCTGTCCAGTTTTCCCATTTATTGAAGAGATTTTCTTTTCTCCATGCATGGTGACAGATAAAAACTGGACTGTTGGTGGTGAACATGATGCAGGCTATATAAGAACTGAAATATTATCATATAAACCTGAAATTTATACAACGTTACAAGCCAATTTGACCTCAATAAAATAATTTTTTTAAAAAACAAATTATCAGTATTAAGCATAAAAGATGTTACCAGAGATCCTATTATTAAAGGGGTAAAGTGGAAGTAGTATGAAAAACTTTACGCTAATACATTCAAAATTGTAGATTAGAAACGAAAAGTTTCTTAAGAAACCCAGTTTACTTACTTGAGATAAGAAGCAAGACATCTGAATAGTTCTGTTAATAAAAATTAATACAATATTAATTAATCTATTAATATAATAAATGTTAAATATTAAAAACAAAATATAGTATGATAAAATAAATAATAATAAATATTAAATTAATTTGTTATTAAAAACCCTCCCACAGAGAAAACTCCTGGCACGGAAGGCTAGTTGAATTCAATCAGCATTTAAAGAAGAACTACCGATCTTACATAAAATCTGTCAGAAAACAGAGAAGGCAAAACGTCCCAATTTACTTTATAAGGTCCATGTATTCCTAACACTGAAAACTTACAAAGAAATTACAAGACAAGAAAATTATACACCAATATTTCTTATAAACTTAGACACAAAAATCCTTAACAAAATGGAATAAAATCTAGCAGTATATAAAAATATTACTATATCATGACCATGTGAGGTTTATCTCAGATAAGGAAGATTGGCCTAATATTTGAAAATCAAACATAATACACCACATTAACAGAACATAGGAGAATAATCACATTATTATCTCCATAGATACAAATAAAACATTTGAAACATTCAAGACTTCAAGACAAAAACTCCCAGTTAACTAGGAATAAAAGGGAACGTTCTAAATTTGATAAAGGGCATCAACAAAAACTTAACAGTTAACATCATACTAAATGTTGACATTATATCCTTTTCTTCTAAGATTAAGAGCAAGGCAAGGATGCCTGTGCTCACCGTTTATATTCAGCATTGTACTAGAGGTCCCAATGTAATTTATTAAGAATTAATAAGGCAAAAAAGAAAGAAATTAAAGCCAAAAATATTGTAAAACAAGAAGCCTAGCTATCTTTATTTGTAGGAGACATGATAGTCCAGAGAACGACCACACACTCCAACAGAGAACATTTACTCTTGTTCTAGCCTTGTTTCTCAGTCCAGAGCCTGCATAATTAGTATATAGTTTGCAAAGTCTGTGGAAAAAACAAATTAGCAGCAATATAATAAACTAGTCTGGGAAAAAGGAAAAGTCATAGAACATCTTATTAAAACTGCATCAATGAGCTAAACTTTTTTTGCTTTATCTAAATTTTAAAATAAATATGAATAGCAGCAAAACCAACAGGAAATAAAATTTATAGTGCATAAAACTGCATACAGTACAATTCATTCTGGGTAAATTGCATTTTGGTAGAAAATGGCTACAAAAGAAAATTCACAAAAACCAAACTTTTACAGGTAAGATTCAACATTTGATTTTCCAGTTAGTTTTTGCCATGTATAATTTTTTCATAAGAAAAATAATTGCTCCTAAGGAATGTACTTTCAATAAGATATAAATAAAACTTGCAAAAATAGAAATTATTTAATGTATATTTAGAATAATGGAATTAAATCGGCTTAATGGCATTTAATTAGTATACTTTCTCATAGATCCCTTAACTTGGAGATTTAAGTAGAGTGATTCCAAAAATTTGGAGAAGTTAGGATTTTTAGATTATAAATGCAATATAGAGATCTCATTTAAGGTTGACTGCAAGTATGGAAAAACATAGAGGGGAAGTAGCTCAGAGTCAGGTAAAATCGTCCCCTTACAGCAAAGTCTTACTACAAAGCTCCCCACATCAATAGAGTTTACTTACAAGCTACCAAATTGAGTTTGTCTGCTCTTCCCAAAATGGTGCGTTAAGATAAGGGTCCCAACAGATGAACGCTTGTTCCTGAAGGTGACTGTTTACATCAGGCACTGGATTTCTCATCCATAATGGAGTGAAGTTGAGCAACAGAAGTTTCAAAGGAAGAGCTGTAACCTCATGCTTGTGAATGTCTATGTATCACCACTAGGTGTCACTGGGACTTTGTTACCGAACAAATTGTGGGACATGGAAGTTTTCCTATGAAAAAAATAAATGATTGATTTTGTTGTATATATTATAGTTTTTGTTTGATTGCTCATAAAAATGTGATGGTATCACACAGCTCTGTGTCCTTCCATACATCTTCTCAGCCACTTTTTCCACCCAGCCATTGCTAAGGCAACATGACAGAGCATAACTTCTGCTGCACTGTGTATCTTTTGCATTTTTGTACAAAGGCTTTTCTCCTGATGTAGTTGGGACACCTGTGAGAAGCTGCTTATCACTGTGGATGCTCAAAACTGCAGGAGTAGAGAATTAACACGTGGCAATCTTTGACTATGATGGGCCAGGGATCATGGATATCTGATTCATCAGAGGGTTCCAAAGGGATTAGATCCTGATTTTCCATAGTGGTGACCACGTTGATAGCATGTTATTGTATTGGCTTTCTCTCTGTTCCTATTTTGCTCTTCCTAATACCTGGTATCATATCCCAAAATGAATCCTTACCTATAAAGCTTCCCAAATCAATAAAGTTTACTTTGACTTTCTTTTCTTTCGTGTTGTAGATTCTACTTTCTAGAAAAAGCCTAAGCATAAGCCATTATCCTGAGAAAGTGTTTTCAGCACCCAGAAATCTCGCTTCCACTTCCCAGTCAACATCTTTTAAAAGACAACAACAATTCTGATCTCTATCACCATAGGTAAGTTTTGGTTCTGTTTTTGAACCTCACATTACTAGAATCATGTAGTAATTCCTACTTTGTATCTGTATTCTTTCACTCCACAGTATTTCTGTGAGATGTATCCATGTTGGGGTACATAGCAGCAATTCATTATTTTTCATTGCTGTGGAGTTTTCCACTGTGTAAATACAGCACAATTTACCCCTTCCACTGTGGATGCACATTTGAATTGTTCCTAGATTTTAGCTATTTTGAACAATACTGCTTTGAACATTTTTGTACATGGCTTTTTGTGAACATAAACAGTCATTTCTCTTGGGAACATAACATGGAAATGGAATTTCTGGGTCACAGGCTATACATGTTTTTTACATTTAATAGATCCTGGCAAACTGGTTTTCAAAGATGTTTTACCAATCTACCTTCCATCTTCTCCACATCCTCACTCATATTTGGTGTTATTAATCCTTTTAGTTTTAGCTATTCTGGTTGGGGTGTAGTGTATCCAACCATTATTTTAGTTCATATTTCCCTGTGACTAATGGTACTTCACATATTTTCATATGCCTATTAGCCATTTAGATACACTCTTTGTGAAGTACTAGTTTGAATTTTCATCTATTTGTGTGTGTGTGTGTGGCAAGGAAGGAAGTCAGTCTTTTTCTTATTGACTTGAAGTTTTTTTTTATAATTTCTGGATACTAATCCTTTGGCGGATATGTGTATTGTGAATATTTTCTCCCAGTCTTTGGTTTAATTTTCAATCTCTTAAATTGGATGAAAAGGTTTTTTTTTTAATGGCATACAATTTATCAATATTTTTCTTAATGGCTACTGTGATCTACTCCTGTAAATTATTTACTCCTACTCCAAGGTCATGAGATAGTCCCCTTAATTTGTGGTTCTCAAACTTGAGTGGGCATCAGAATCATCTGGAAGTGTTTTAAAGCACAGATTGTTGGGACACCTCCAGAGAGTATAATTCTTTATGTCAGGGAAGATGTCCAAGAATTTGCATTTCTTATAACTTCTAGATGATTCTGATTCTGCTGGTCTGGGAATCACCTTTGAAAACAAGTGTACCATTTTGACTTTGAGAAACTTAACTATTTTACTTTTTACATTTATAAATACAGTATACTTGGGCTTGATTTTCATGTGTGGTGTGAAATAGGAGTAATATTTTATTTTTTTCAATGTTAGTCAATTGACTAATACCACTGATAGGCAGTACCAATTATTTTGTAATTTAAGTGTCTATCTATGGATCTATTTCTAGACTTCTTATTCTGGTCTTTTCTTCTATAAGTCTATGCTTGTGCCAATGCAATATAATAAAGCAATGTTAATTACTTTAAATTTATAATAAATCTTGATAACAACCAGAGTAACTCTTCCTACTTTCTTCTTCTTCAAGTTCATCTTATGAAATAAGAGGAAAAGTAAAATGTTTCTCTTTGGGCTTAAAAAAGAAAAATTTGAGGGGCCGACCAGGTGGTGTAGTGCTTAAGTTCGCACATTCCGCTTCTCCTTATTTAAGTTGTAGGTCTTGATTTTCACTTGAGCTATTTCAAGGCTTAAGACTAGGTGTCTTAAGGGGGTACCAGTACATTTCCTAAGCAAGAGGAACCTAGGGGGAATTTGCAAGGTAAGAGAAACCTAGGAGGAATTTCCTAGGCCAGGTGAACCCAGGGTGAACTTGGATGTGAATGAGGCAGGCTGATCTTTTAAATTTAGCTTTAAATTGGAATGAATTGTGTCAAAAAAGTCTGAACAAATTATTCATCCAGAGCTCTGAGCCCCCAGCGTAGTTCTAGACTGCTGCTACAGAAATTGAGATATGCAAGAGAGTGCTGATGACATTTTTAGGGAGTGACACTCACAAGCATCACACTTCTGATCCACTGCATTGCCCTTAGATATTGTTCAGACTTTATAGTAAAACAAAACAGATTCTTACCGAACTTATGTAAATAACTATATTTCCACAAAACTAGGAATATTCAGTCACTAAGAGTTTCCAAATTCTGGAGGGATCAGGTAGGGAGAAAATGATAAATATTTCAATTCTGCTTACAAAAGTATAATTTTATGAAATTTCTATAAGTCATAATTAGCTGAAGAGAAAAAAGAAAAAGGTTTCCTTAAATCTGGAAAAATAATATGTTAAAACAAATCAGCAATATTTCAAGCAAAAAGTCATACATGTTATAATCATCCCCATTGGTTCACTCAGGCCCATGTAGTAAACTCTTGATCTTGATCGCTTGTTCACAGTTTCATAAAATCATCCATTTCTTGGTTAGAGTTCTGTAATTTCTTACTCAGTTCAGTTTTATGATCTGAAAGTTTGTCAGAAACCTTTATTCTAGAATAAGCACCCAAACCCTTTCCATGAATCTCTGTGAACATGAAACATTTGCAAAAGCATCCAAGTAAAACAGTAACTATCTGTAAATGACAAAAGACTCAAAAATTGCAATCAACAAAAAGCTTGGCTATTTTTGTGACATGCAACACTTGAATTATGACTGATACCAAGGACAGATCAGTAGTTTAGGAATGTTATATATATATATATATATATATATATATATATATATATGTATGTATATTTAAAATATTTATATTAATAACATTTATCCACACAACATCATAGGTCCCTATGAAACAATGATTAGTTATCCATTTAACCATGGTAACAAAGATTTTCAGGCAAATCCAGAAAGTTAAATAGTGGTAAGAAAAACCTTAGTGCCTGCGATTAAAGACCTGTTAAAAACCTACAGGAAATTTATTTTTAGAAAGCATATAATCCCTACCTTTCTGGCAGACTACTGAAAGTAAAAAACTTTTGTAATCTCTTTATCGAGAGCAGACTGAAAGTTAAAGAGAATTATCCTTTTAAGGCGGCGGGGGTTGAGGGGGTGGGGGTGGGGCTAAAAGCCCAAATTCTACTTTTGCACCAGATTACTTTTGATCTTACAACTCATTCACTTAATTAAATTCACATCAATCTTAGCCAATTTGACCATGTACGACACTCTTTTCTCAAATGTTTTTCCCATAAACCTTCTATAACCTTTTAAACAAACAAAAATATCTTTATTTCTTATATGTTCTTTACTGAAAATACACATCTTACTTTTCTTGAAAAATGTTTTGCTCATTAAATTTTACTACCTTTAATCGTGTATATTAATTAAAATTCTTAACCCTTACAGACTTTAATTTTTAGTGAAAACTAAGAAGTAAGCAATTATAAACTGTCTTTTACATGAGTATTCTGTGGCTTGGCAAATTTATAAATACTCTTCACAATTTCTAGAAACATGTTACTTTATAATACAATCTTTTAATAAAATACAAGACATGTTTGCTAATAGATGCAAACATCTTTTAGTTTCTCTGTAAGAAGCAGCCTGAAGTAGATAAGCCTGTATTTAACAATTAATGCATAATGTTTTATCTTATTTAGAAATTATCTAGATATTTACTAATTTTTATCATTTAACTTAATTTAACAAAACTCTAAGGTTTCAAGTCACCAAAATGTTTTGAAGTTACTTTATGTACATATACTATAATATATAATTATTATTAAAAATTTCACGTAAAAACTTTTATCTTACTTACATCTGTTTAGTTTACTTGTTTCCAATAATTATGTTTAGACTCCCTACAAAAAATTTATGAGACATTACACAAAATCAGTTATCATTTTAGGCTGTTATTTTGCTGACAAATTTGTAACAGAGATAATATGAGCTTATTTGACTAGTAAATCCAGGCTGCATGTTTGCATTATATCCAATGCTGATAACTTGGAGGATATGTCCAATTTAATCAAACCAACAACCTTAAACAAGCTTTCATTTACCAAAGATTACTTCATAGACATTTGGGTTAGTTTATGTAACATTTAAAAATAATTTATGTAAGTGCTTACTTTAAGCCAATTAAACAGTGCTCTTAATTTTGGCAATATCATCCAGAGGTGGATAAATATCTCACATTTATAACATATATATAGACACACATATACAGACATTTAGCTAGACACAAACAGAGATCTTTAGAATTTCAGTGATGCCTCATGCACAGAACTCAAAAGAATGCTGGATCCAAATTGCTACCTGTTCAGATGGCTGAAGACTTTTTTTATGCCAAAGATTATTTTCTTTTTGCATAGGGATCCTTTTTACAGCTGTTTTTGAAGTCATTTTGCTCATTTTTAACTGAGATCTCCCTTACCATGCTTAATTAACATTGCCTGAAGCGTCGATTTATATGTTCTCACAATATCATACAAAGGAAATGTTTTCCAGTGAGACACAATACTTGTCCCCA